GGATGACAGTTCCCAGAATCCTTGAGCCAGCATGACCATGCTACTAAGGAGGGGGATTCTGGGATGTTTATCCAAAATACTTTTCTAAGCTCTGGTCCATGACCATTCTTTTCTCAGTATCATCATGCCTGGAATATTTTAAAAATTGCATTTGGGACTGGTCCACATTTATGGCTGGGGGGTTGTACTGCTGCGTAATTTGTATCTATCTCTTTCTATTTGACAACTTTGTTTCATGTCTTTATTGTCACTATGCTATTGTCTGGGCTTATCTGTCAGTCATGCTATGCCTATAAATAACCATCTTTTTGGTCCTTCCCACGATTTCTGTCACTTGGTGATGGCGGGGGATTTCATCCCCCTCCGCATTTCTGACATGTCCAAGCAAAACATGTGCCTATGACATTGATGGATCAACTTGTCATCTTTCAACAGTGGCATAGGTCATGCCGACAGCCAGTTTGTTCTAGATCCTTTGATGTGCCATGGAGCAGCTACTGAGCAGAATTATCAATTGAGCATCTTTGTAGGGGTGTTTTCAAAGAACTTGCCAAACTAAAAAGACTATACCACTGCTTGGAAAATATTACTTTTTGAACAGCTACATGGTCATTGTGGGGTCCCAAATTCTGAGAAATTTGGCCCAAAAAAGTAACTTTATCTAGGTTTGCTATGCACAAATCTGTTAGAAATTCATTTAGATTTTTAAAGGTACATCTTGGAGACTGTGAAGACAGACAGAAATAATGGTTCTAGTTCCTGGGAAGCATTTTAAATCTGCCATTATTTATTTGTACTTACAAGAGCACTGGAAGCTGCCTTATACAAAGTCATTGCATTATTTCACTGTATTGTTTACATTTACTGTCAGTGGCACTTCACAGTTTCAGATGGGGTTCCCACCCTATCTTGAGATCTTGGGTACTAAGCCTGGAGCTTTCCATATTCAAAACACTTGCTCTGTCACTGAGTGATGGCCATGCTGGTTGGGGGATTCCAAAAAAGGTAATTTTCCAAGATCTGTCCTTACTTAGGGATAAGCTCTGTCGGACCAAGCTTTTAACCAGCTTGAACAAGGATCTGTTTACATATATCACATGCAATTGCATGTATTTCTCAATTGTGTTTCTGAATAAAGAGCCAGTTTGGCCTGACAGCTTATAGTGTGCATTGCAACCTGGGAAATCCCTGATATAGTTCTCATTATGGTTACAACTGCCTTTCTCAGTCTGTTTCTCACCCGTGCTCTTATCTATCATGCCTTCTAGGTTGGTGACAAACATTTGTGAAATAATACTTTAAATACTGTGCAGTTAGCAGTTTTAATAGCTCATTAATATTGTATTTTTTATTAAAGTCAGAGAGGATGTCCACACATATTCAAAAGATGGCACTGCAAGTGTGTACTGAGATTAAGGATCCTGTAGGATTGGTTCACCAGGATTGGAACTCCATTTGCCTTCACAGCTCAGTGCTACCTGTTCTCGTGTCTCAATCACATACTTTAGAAGTGGCTCTCATTCTTACACTGGTTTTGGATGAAGGGAAAATAGAAGGTACACCACCAAATCATCTTCCCTACTCTGGAGAAGGTTATTATTACTGTATCCTTTTTGGTCCCAGAACTAGAAACATTTCATCTTGACTCCCTGTCCTAAGAATCAGCGTTGGATATATTCGTTGGACACCCTTAGGGCTGTCATCATCACAGATTTTGAAGAGACTGCAAGGGCCATTCAGTCCAGTTCCATACTATGCAGGAACACACAATCAAAGCACTTTCAGCAGGTGGCCATCCAGTCTCTGTTTAGGAAGACCACCAAAGAGGAGCTTCCACCACACTCTGAGGCAGTGAGATCTACTGTTGAACAGTTTTTATCATCAGGAAGTTTGTCCTATTTCTGCATTTAATTTTTTCTTGAATAACCTTCCATTTCTCCCTGTTGAAATTCATTTTGTAGTTTTGGCTCAGTTCTCTAATCTGTTAAGGGCACTTTAGATTCTGATTCTGTCTTCTGGGAAATGAACTACCACCTCTAATTTGGTGCCATCTGCAAATTTCATAAGTATGCCCTCTACTCCATCATCCAAGTCATTGATAAAGATGTTAAATAGCACTGGGCCCAGACCATACTTCCATGGGACCCCTCTGGTCACCTCTCTCCAGGATGAAGAGGAGCGATTGGCAAGCACCCTTTGGGTTCAACCAATCAATTAATTCCCAATCCATCTAACAATGTCATCATGTAGATCAGATTTTCTTTCTTCTTTGTAATACTATATTGGGGGATTTTTCTAAGACCTTACCTAAAAGGCCTTTGATAAGGTCCCCCATGGTAGAAGTGCTACATTCTGCTCAGAACATGTGTTTTGTTATAGCTTTTTGTTTGTTCATTTTTTACAGACACAGTTTCTCCTTTTACAGAACTTTGTATCTCTCTGCTACAAAATAATCTTGGCCCATTATCCTCAAGATACTTGCACTGGCAAGCTCCTTGTCTTTCTCGTGATAGCATTGGCATCACCCATGTAGCAGATGGCTTTAAGCAATATGTGGCCCTCTTCCTCTTTATTTTCTAAGTATCTACTTTACAATCCATGAAAAGAAGGAGAGTGACAGATATTTATTTGCCACTAGGAAATCAATCTTATCCCTGCCAAATTGTTGCAGACACTAGACCAATGTGTGTCTTGGCTGAATGCAAACCGAGGTCTGTCCCAGCGTATGGCTGGCAGCAGTGCCAATCTGGTATCAAACAGCAGCTTGGTCCTAAAAAGCAGCTTGGAAGTGCCAGGCAGCTTACTGTTGGTCCCTCATCTTCGCCTTTCACAGAAATCACATTGCGGGTAGGGATGTCAGTCTTTTGTGTGAATGAAAAATTTCACAGAAACATGGTGAAATCATAGAAGTTTTTGCACAATAATTTTTTGTGTGTGCACATTTGTGCATGGAGTGCAACTTTTTTTTTTACCAAACTTCAAGAAACATGGAAAACTACTAGTCTTTTCACTCCCACACAGGAGCAAAAAAAAATCACATTGTACATTGAAACTCCCTTTCTTATTTAGGAGCATGTGAATATTCTTTACATTCAGAAATGGGTGTTGGAGAAGTACCAAGGGTAGATAACTGTCTGATGCTTGAGACTAATTCCCGTTAGTCAGATGGGTAATTGCCAGCAGAGCTTTTTTAATCCTGTTCTGAAAGCTGCTAAGTAATGTATTGATCTGGAAAGGCGCCTGGAACAATAGACAAGCAAATGAGATGGTGAGTGGAGGTTAGCATCTGACCCAAGACTGCAACCCTATATGCAACTTGGTTATATGAATCCCATGGAACTCATCAAGGGTCATTGTACAATCCTATACATATGCTTTCAGAAGTTGGGTTCACAATCTTGTGGGATACGCTTCATGATAAATTAGGATAGGATTTCAGATTTCAGTCAGATTGCCACCTGTAGAATTATAGCCCGTGAGGCATAATTCTGCAGACAGTCTGAATGAAAGCAGAAATCATCCACAAGCTTTTCTGCAATACAGATTGCCACCCCCACCCCACAATTAAGCAGGAGGAGAGAAGTCTGGTTCTATTACTCTATTATGCTGGTTTTTGAGCTGTACAATCCTGCAGCCAAATCCAAAATGAAACAAAACTCTGTAGCAAGCAGTTTCAAATGTTGCAGCTGTAAAATATGAAAAGGTTGCAAACTGGGTTTTATGTGAACTCATGTGACTGGATGTCTGTCTTATAAGCTCTTCAGGGCTGAAAGCAGAGGGATGTCTGTGGCATAAAATCAAGTTCTCATCAAGAATTGCTCAGTAATCATTCTGCTAATAAATGGTTTACTCTGCATAGGCCCCAGAAAGTGATTACTTCTAAACTTGCACCAGTGGAGGCTTAGCCTAGGGGTGCAGAGTCACACAGGGAGACATTTATGCAACCCAAAATTGATAGGAGGGCAAGTTAACCCTTACCCTGTCCACTGATTTGACCATGTTGGTGCACTCTTTAGCCCAACTGAGCAATAAACCTGTGCACATTTGTTGTTGTTGTTGTTCATTCAGTCAGTCATTTCCGACTCTTTGTGACCTCATGAACCAGCCCACGCCAGAGCTCCCTGTCGGCCGTCACCACTCCCAGCTCCTTCAAGGTCAAGCCAGTCACTTCAAGGATGCCATCCATCCATCTTGCTCTTCCTTTTTCCTTCCATTTTCCCCAGCATAATTGTCTTCTCTAAGCTTTCCTGTCATCTCATTATGTGGCCAAAATGCTTCATTTTTGCCTCTAATATCCTTCCCTCCAGTGAGCGGTCGGGCTTTATTCCTGAACATTTGTACAGGTGGGAAAAACTACCACAAAGGAGGAATTGGTGAGCACAAGAAGCACACACCACTTCTGTGTCCTTTTCTATTTCCACATTGGAGCAAGGGGTGTTGCTTCCTCATTCAAGCATGTGCTTAAATAAGAAAGACCCTAGGTGCACTTCCAGGTAGGACTGGGAGGAAAAGGATAGGATTCCTACAGTGCACCTGTCAGCTAGTGCAGACCAGCTTTCCCTAGATGTGTTGAATAGCAGTTGCAATCACTATCCACACTAGTTGGAGTTAATGGGAGTTGTAACCCAATTCATTTGGACTGCAACTCCCATTGGGGAGTATTGGTGTTTGCAATACTCAGCTAGGTGGCCCAGTTTTCTCACTTGCATAAGGCAGCTTTTTGTGTTAATAAATGTAAGATTTAATTTGAAATGTGTCCAAAAGTAGTAGATACATGCAGAGTTGGGAAACATAACTGTTTCCCAGAACTTTCCCCTAACAAAGTTTAGCCATGAATTATAATTCTAACAAATAACTATTTGAAGCTCTTCTCAATGGAGTTGAAAAGAAGAAGAAACTAAGATGGAACTGCCACTTTTCTTCACATGAAATATCTATTGGTTATTTATTTTGAGGCTTTATGGCCACATCCATGATATTTTCTCTGTTTTCCTTTTCAGCACAGCTACAGAGAAGTGGGGATTCTTCTGCTGTACTTGGCTGTTGGGGTGTCTGTCTTCTCTGGAGTGGCCTACACTGCAGAAAAGGAGGAACATGTTGGCTTTGATACCATCCCAGCCTGCTGGTGGTGGGGGACAGTTAGCATGACAACTGTAGGCTATGGAGATGTTGTGCCAGTGACTGTTGCTGGCAAGCTGGCAGCTTCTGGTTGTATCCTTGGTGGGATTTTGGTGGTGGCACTTCCTATCACTATCATCTTCAACAAGTTCTCTCACTTCTACCGCAGGCAGAAAGCCCTTGAGGCTGCTGTGCGAAACAGTGGCAAGAAGGAGCCAGAGGACTCTGAGAATTACCCAAGTCAAGAGTCTGAGATTTTAAGTGAAGTTTACCAGAGAGATGATGATCTCACCAGAAATATCCTCCCAGTCCATTGAATGGAGTGATGGTTGGGAACTTGGTGTATTCTGGCATTTTAGCAAGCAAGTTGCTAGAAAGATGCATTCTCTCAACTGACATGGACTCCATCCATTATCAGTGACCAGTTCCAGAAATGTTGGTGAGGCAACATCTGACTTTGAGCCAGTATAGAATTCCTGTTGACCGTACGCATCTGGACTTCCAGTGTCTCACCTGGACATGCTCACTGTGACTAATCCATTCATCCATCGTGAACATTTGGATCCAAAAGCCCGGGATACAATGTTTCTTGATCACATCCCTCCAAAGCAGTAAAACACGATAGCATCTCCATTATAAGCACTTTCTAATTATGCCTGTTCCCTACTGGGAGGGGAAGACATTAGTAGCTTCCTTCAGATTTGGCAAGTATCAAGTGACAGGACTGCAAGATCAGAGTCTAACAGATAGGAAATTATGCAGCCATATGACCTTTCCCTCCCTTCAGTTCCCTTCTACATAGTAGTTACACACATTCTCTTGGACAAATATTCTGCAATTCACTTAAACTAAATGCTCTTCCACTGTCCATGAACATGCTGAAATACTCTTTCACTGTTCACCAAAATGCTGATGCTTGGCATTATTTCTGTTCTGGCTTATTACTGTGCCATGATTTATTATTGATTTTCATCTGTTGCCAAAGAGACTGGACATTCATTCTGAAGATTATCCTTAGTGCTGTGACATATTGTTGTTTAGGACTTCCAGAGAGTGGAGATTTGTCGAAGAAATAATCTCCTGACTTGCCTTATAAGATGTCTGTTTGACAGAGAGATGTACAGGCTAGCAGTAACTTGACAGGCCTTAGAAAAAGTCTAAATAGTTTCAAAGCTGATGGAGAAAAATAGACCAGGATATGTGTTTGTGTATTGTGATGCTTGAGTATGCTGAATGAGGTTTCAAGCACATGTTCTAATCATTAAGGAAGAGGGGTTATAAATATGATTTAGTTCCCCATTATCAAGTCTCTTCCCTCCCCCACAACCTCTCAATGATTGAATGAAATGGATTGTTTTGTTTTTTAAAAATAACTATGCAAGGTAAAGAATGTGGGCGAAGAACATAGCTTTCTCCCCTTTCTTTCTCAACATTGGTTCTAAAAGCCAGTGAAAATGATGGATACTAGTTTGGGTGTGAACATAAACAAAGGTAGTACTCCACATTCTAGGGGCACAGAACCCATGTGGAAGAGAGTCTGTACATTTTTGGGACTCTGTCCATCCTCCAGGATGACACTGTGGACAACTATCTCTGGAAGCTGACCATAGAATTATACTGGAAAACCTGGAAATTCCCAGGAATAGCATTTTAATCAAATCTGTGAATAATCACATCTGCAAATTTCAACATTTGACTGTACTTCTTCAAACAATGCATAATTAATTTTTATAATTTCCTGACACAAGATGTCTTGGTATCCCCAAAGAAAGCTTTAAAGGGACAGTTTTGTAGAGGATGCAGTTTGTCAATATCCCTGAGGGATAAACTGAATTTCCACATTCAGGGCTAGTACACCCCTGCATAGCAGTTGCATATCTTTGGACACAGCTTTTGAACTTCTTGGATGTGTCTGGCTCTTTGGATTGCCACCAAAAGGGGAGAGAATCCATGAATCATATTCCTGGCAGCTACTGGTAATTGTATGAAGACCCTATGTATGATAACCAACGTACTTGATCTTATTGATAGAGGTGGAGAGCATTTTGTCCTCAGGATAATGGACTTGAATTACCATCATTCTCAGGTCATTAAGACCAGCTTTTAGGGAGGATAGGAGATTTGGGCCCATATGAAAGGCCACAGGTTATCAGTTTCTTACATTTTCTGGCATCTCTCTAAAGCAGTAGCAACATATGCTCCAGCTACTAAGATCATCAGTGGTAGGTCCCATCAGATGTTTTTGGTATTTTTCCTCCCAAAATTCTTCAGTGTTGATTATGGTGGTATGGGCTGGTGGAGATTATAAGACAAAAACACCCAGAATCTCAGTTCGCCACTTTTGCCTGTCCTTCCAAAGAAATATACACAGTTATCCTTGAATATGTTTTTAATGTTGCCACATATATTTACCTCAAGACTGAAGATGCTTTACTCATACTGGGAGTTCCCTTGACTTAGGAACTCATCACATTAGACAATTTTAACATCCTAGGATGCTTGCAGGACACGAGGAGGATGGAGCTGGTCAGATTCCATCAGATGACGCACAGTTACTTCAGGTGGGACTCTGTCCTCCCAGCATACTGCAAGTGTTCTAGGACACTGCCCAGAGAACACAGTAAGCTTCCTGTGTTCTCATTGAGAAGAACAGAGATAAGCTCTGCGGAGGTGCTTTCCTCGTGGGATGGGGAAAGCGCCGATGCAGGTGATGCGGGGCGACAGGTTTTCCCACTGCCCACTGGATTTGCCATGCTGCCACAGCTTATTGCAGTGATTTTCTCATCATGGATCACAAGGAGCACACAGTTAGGATCAAGTGGCAACATGTCATCATCAAGACCAGATTAAGTGTTACAGCATGGTAAACCAAGTAAGCTTTTTGAGGAGAACAAATTTTCCTCAAGATTGATTTTTTTCTGCAAATAAATGCAAATGTGTGTTGATGGGAAGGAAATACTGAATATAGTACAATCCTTGCATCCAGTGGCCGGGGGGGGGGGGGGGATGTTTCTGGACTTTGCATGGATATGCAGACCCTAACAACAACAAAAACAAACTCCTGAATAGGGCTGATGTTTGATAATGAAAGTATAGTAGTTATGGTATTATGAAATGCAGTTGGTCTTCACACCAATGTATTCCACTTTCATATGCACAAAAGAAATTAAATCACTACTAGCAGGTACTGGTGTGGTTGGTCATTGAAAATCCTCCTGCCATATAGTATAATAGGGGTGGACAAATAGCAGTGTGGGGCCACATGAGCCATTCAGACCTCAAAATGTGACTCCCCCTAGAGTAGTGGAAGGTTGCATTTATGACCATGGTTTGTCTTATGGGCTTTTTTCTTGTTTTTTTTCCATTAGTAGTAATTTTTGTATGCCTTCAAGTTGCTTCTGACTTATGGAAATCCTAAGGCATCTCTATCACATGGTGTTCTTGGCAGGATTTGTTCAGAGAGGGGCCTAATATAATAAGTGTAAGGGGGGATTGCTTGCTTTTGTCATTTAGCTGATACGTCCTACAGTTTCCCAGATGACAACGTTAATGGACATACTAAGTCTTTTTTACACCCTGGCAACTAACCTGTAGACATAACAGGAGAACTTCTGTTGAGGAAAGTCTTCTCTATTTGAAGACCTAGGGGAAGAAGAATTTCATGATGGAATCTGGTATGCAACACAACAGCAAACATTGTTTATTTTATTGCTGCAGTCCTTGAACAGCAAGGACAATACTGTTGATAAAAGCCAGGATTATTGCAGGGTAGGCTGTGTTTGTAATATTAGCTTGACGTTGCATTTCAGCAGCTAATAAGATTTCCTACAAGATGCTTCATGGCCAAAGGTAACTGCATAGCCATGTATATTTGAGTATACCTTCTTCATCAAAAATAACACTCTGAGCCCAATAGAAGGCAAATCCACAAGGAAATGAATGGGAAGACAGTCCATTAGTGGGTGAGTTCTATTTCATCTAGTTTCCATATTAGGTCATTCTCTGCTTATTGTGTATTTCCTGTTTCTTTTTGGTGTACTGCTTGATGAACTAAAACATACAAGGTAGTCTGCCTCTGTATGGCATTAGTAGATATGGGCACAGTGGTACATTTGGATAATTAAGTGGCACATTTTCTTGTCAAATCTAAAAAGGAACAACTAAAGAGTCACCTATCAATGATCTAGTCATGCTACTTACATGTAAACACATCTCCCTACTGCTTATCCAGATACATTGATATTTCAGATGTGTCTGGGTCCGTTGTAAGGTGTTTGACTTGTGTGGGAAAGTTTCTTCTTTGAGCATATGTAAAAGATATGTTTACTGGAAGGGGCATGTTTCTGAAATTTAAAACCATGTTTGTAATTACCTTGCTCATGATTTGATCAGAACTGATTACTGTTAGAGTCACAGTAATCATATTCATCCTCATCAGAGCAGTGCCATGACTTGCTGTTGCAGCTCACAATTTCTGCCCCTCTAAAAGAAAAGAGGGTGGGAGGGGAAAGCCTCAGAGAACTGGATATCACCATGATTGAATGCTTATTTTGAGTGTTTGGCTCACTCTCGACGTTATCAGTAGGGATAAAAATAACGGTCACAATGCAAATTATGGCTCACAGTATGTGTCCAAAATAAGGCAGAACACTGGAGATATGGGTTGGAGGTTTTAGATTCACTTTGTGATCTTGGATTAAGAAAGAGCCATAGAAGTCTAGGGTAGATAAAGTAGACATCACACACTTGAGTCCATTCATTTCAGTCAATCCAGTTGAAATCTGATCGAGGGCTCGCCTACGTGGGCTTAACAATACAAACTCACTGTGCAGTTGCTTGTGGCAACCTTCATGATGTTCTACAACTTCTAGGGTTTTTTGCACATTTAACCCAGTTTAGCTCCACATTCAGAAATGTTGGGGCATGTACTGGAGTTTGCTAAAAAAAAATCCAGAATAACCTTACAGCTTCTGACCAGTCCAATATCCATGCAGAGTGCTGCCACCATCCCTTCATCCTGCACACATCAGAATTGGAGAAAGGGGACAGACTTAAGTTATGGTAATACCATCACCTCTCCCAGATGGCCTCAGAGCTCCTGGGCACTCCATGCTGAAATCAGAAGAGGTGCTCTTGTGATTAGGAGGAAGGAGCAAGGAACTCCATGAGAGCCACACTCCTTCCTCCTAGTCACAGGAGCACCTCTGCTGATGGCAATGGTGACATGGATAGTAAGAGGACGATCGTGTGAAGCCGATACAGTCTCTGCCTGGGCTATAACCTGCCACAGTCCCAGATAGTGTGTCTGCTCTGGACTGGCCCTGGATTAACCAGCCAGAGTCTTGTCTAAATCTAGATCCATTCTGAGAATATGACTGCTCTGTCATTTTATTTATTTATTTATTTATTTATTTATTTATTTCATATACTTGTACCCTGCCCTTCTCACCCCCGAGGGGGGACTCAGGGAGGCCTCACAGAAAACACCATTTGGTGCCATCATAATGATAAGAACAATCAACAAATTCATTTAAAAAAAACATTAAATAAGTATCGTTAAAACTCGCCAATTAAAATCCGGGTCTGGGTCAATTCATTGTCACTTCGAAATTGCTTATGTCTTCTTCATACAAGCCGCTGTTCAATGGTCAAATGTAAGGTCCCACAGCCAAGTCTTGAGTTTCTAAAGGACAGGAGGGAGGTGGCCAGTCTGATGTCTTTGGGAAGGGAATTCCACAGACGGGGAGCCCAGTTTACAGTTCAATAATGCCACTAATTAAACTCCTCCTGCAAATATTGCCACAACAGTAAATGTCATGCAATCAGAGTTAGGAAGGGACCACAAGGGCCATCTAGTGTATTCCTCTATACAGAAAAACACAACAAACAATATATTATTGCAACACTCCTAAAAGATGTCCATCCAACCTCTACTTAAAGACATTTAAGTAGAGATGAATGTGCTTTTAACACATTAAATTCCTTGTGGAAAATGACCTTCTGATTTCTAAAACATTGGGCTGACTCTCTTCTACCATATATTATCAAAAACTGGCTTGCCTGTCTTCCCAGTCATTGAGTCTTGTATTGCTTTGATAATATTTGAATAGAACTATCTAAGTTTCATCAAATACTTTAGCATCCTGGATTTAGGGTGAAAAGGAGTCTAACAAGGAGGATAGAAACAAATAACCAGACTTTAATTCCTTCTTCAAAACTTCAGAGTTACATGACACATAGTCGCAGGCAAATGGCAACCAAAATATACATCAAGCTGGTTCCAGCTTTTGGTGACCCTTGGGCAAATCTGTCATTGAGATGTTTGGGAGAGGGTTGTGGTTGCCTTCCTTTGAGGCTGGGACCATGTGACTTGCCCAAGATGGGTTTCCTTGGCTAAGCAAGAATTCGAAACCTGGTCTCCAGAGTCCAAGCTCAACAATCAAACCTTCATACAACATTGGCTCTTTACAGGAGAATGCAAATACAGATTTCACTGTTAGTTCAACCTTGGAAGTTACTGCAGAAGAATCACACCATGAATCAGAATTGTGAATTGTCACCTATGTATTGTGTCACTCAACAGTGCTCAGTATTCCATCTCAGAATCCAGAAATTTTAATCCAGAGCATATACCCTTGATTATCTTGGTTAATAATACTGGGATCCAGGTTCATCCACTAAAACTTGATGGCAAGAAATTTGGGCAAATGAAAGAATTTACAGCTTTACACAAACGCATTGAAATGTAAAATAGCCACTGCAAGATTAATGATAGTCATCAGCTTCAATAGCTTGAAATGGAGATTGGACAAATGCCCAGAGGATAAAATTGGCTACTTCCCATGGTGGAAAGGAAAACAGAAGAAATGAAAAACATTTCCTTAAACCTGAAGTGAACAAGATGGGCTATTTTTAAAAGGTTTTATTTCACGAAATAATCCTACATGTTTTCATACTGTCGGTTATCATTTGCTACATTTGGAAGTGCATTATTTTAAGACAATTCAAATATTACTTGGCCAAAACACTATTATATTTCTGGGGAAAAATCTTTTTATGTACTGAGATTACATACCTTTATCAATGTCATCTTTGTTGCAGTTGCCATTTTTCTTCATTATTATCTTTATTTTTTACCCCAACTTTTCCCCAAGCCAAGGCACAGGCATATTCATATCAGTTGGTCATAATTTCTGTTGTTGCTGCTGTGTACCTTAAATTGTTAAATTGTTTCTGACTGATAGCAACCCTAAAATGAACCTATCATGGCTTTTCTGGGGTTGAAAGTATGTGACTCATCCAAGGTCACCCAGTGGACAATCAGGGAATCAAACCATGGCCAAGTAGGGAATTGAACCTTGACATCTGTAGCCCTCACCCAGTGCTCAAACCACATGCCATGCTGACTGTTACCATGTCTATATATTCTTATCCTATATATTGCCTCTGTCAGTTGTTAAAGTGTGTGAGTGAGGAATGTACTGTTGTCCTTATTTGTGGTTGGCCACTGTGAAAGCAGAATGCCGACCTAAGTAATCCTTTGATGTCACCCAGCATTGTTCTTATTAACAATAGACAAAGGTATATAAAATCACGAGGAATCCTTGCAATCTTTCTCATTGCCCTTTTCATGTAGAACCCTACCCAAAGGCCCTAGGGTCATTTCTGTCTGCTTCAACTGGCTTTGAACTGGAGCCTTTTAAGTATTTTGCCTGGTAAACATTTATTCAGTGGTGTTTCCCTTTGCACCAGACCTGTGGAGATATTTCTGCTGGCATGGACATGTGATGCTAATGAAAAATAGTTATTATGGGATTAACAGACTGTGAATTCAAGGCATCCTCCAGGCGATAGAAAGTAAAACATTTCGCAGCACACTTGGGAGTGCTGATTCAACACAACCAAACTCTCTATGAATAACTAATAGTATGTCTCCCACTCTGTTAAAAAAACCGAGGGAACTTTATTTCATTGTTGATTTGGCCATAAACTACTCTCTTAATCCTTGAGAAGACATGCCTCTTCTCAACTTGGGAAAGAAAATTGGCCAAGAAAAATATCATGAAGCTATACCTACCAAAACATACCCCGTGAGAACAGAAAGGACAGCATTGCATATGAGTCGTTGCTATTGTACTGATAAAACAAATGCTCCCTTGATGGTTTCCCTATATGACTCTCAAGGG